CCGCCCGGACTGGCGCTCGCTTGGCCTCTGGGCTGCCCGGGGGCGCCGGCCGGGACGTGTGGGAGCGCGGAGCCGCCGCGATGGCCAGCACCAGGAGTATCGAGCTGGAGCACTTTGAGGAGCGGGACAAAAGGCCGCGGCCGGGGTCGCGCCGAGGGGCGCCCAGCTCCTCCGGGGGCAGCAGCAGCTCGGGCCCCAAGGGGAACGGGCTCATCCCCAGCCCGGCGCACAGTGCCCACTGCAGCTTCTACCGCACGCGCACCCTGCAGGCCCTGAGCTCGGAGAAGAAGGCCAAGAAGGCGCGCTTCTACCGGAACGGGGACCGCTACTTCAAGGGCCTGGTGTTTGCCATCTCCGCCGACCGCTTCCGGTCCTTTGATGCGCTGCTCATCGAGCTCACCCGCTCGCTGTCGGACAACGTGAACCTGCCCCAGGGCGTCCGCACCATCTACACCATCGACGGCAGCCGGAAGGTCACCAGCCTGGACGAGCTGCTGGAAGGTAGGAGGGAGGCCGGGGCGGCAGGTGCGGCCCAGCGCGCCGGCAGGTGCAGGTGCAGGGGCCCGGGCCCGCGCCGGCCCTGCGTGGGGGAACCTGCGGGTGACTCCTAGGCGACCGCAGCGCTTGCGTGGTCTGCGCTGCTCTGTGTGCGAGGGACGCGCGGCTCCCTCGGCCCCAAGTGCCCCCTTTCAAGGGAGTCGCCTTCAAAAAGAAAGAAAACCCTAATGGGCTTGGGGGGCATCTGAAGGTTGGAAAACTAAATTTTTGACGAACAAACTATTCGGAAAAACTGTTCGGCGCAGCGTGTGGCCCTCCGGGCAGGCGTCTGGAGGCGCGCCCAGCACCAGGACAGGACGTCGCACCTGCTCTGCTCAGAAGCTGTGCTTCTGAAACCCTCTAAGCCATCTTTCCTGCTTGAACTCTCAGCTGGAGCCACACGAGGTCAGAAGGGGTGACCCTAGGCCTGGGCGCCCAACCTTGGCTGCATCTTGAATATTGGGGGATTTTTTTTAAAAGATTTATTTATTTATTCATATAGAACTGGGGTACAGGCCAGAGATGCGGAGGGTGAGAGGATTCACCAGAGACAGAGTGGGGTGCAGAACAGGCAGATCGACGAAGTACACTGCTGAGGCGAGCAGCGGGCGGGTCAGGAGAGGTCTGCCACGCCATGTGGTCTCCTCCGGGGGTAGGCGGGAATCGAACTCATGCGGAAGTGGCTTAAGCTTCTCAGTGCAGTGCTTTAACCCGCTGCGCCACCAAGGGAGGGCCATATTGGGGGATTTTTTTAAAGACAGTGTCTCCTGCTCAGCCCCAGATAACCAGGTGTAATTGGTTGGGGTGTTGTCTGGGCAGGTACTGTTACAAGCTCCCCGAGTGATTCCAAGGGGTAGCTAGGATTAAGATCCACTGTGCTGAAGGTTTTACACCTGCGGTGGGCAATGAGGTGAATCAGGGTCTAGCTCTTCTGCACCGCCTCCCCCCTCCCCCCCCTTCTAGCACAGGCTAGGGAGGGTGATAAAGGTCATTGGAGCCAGTAGTTGGACCTGTGATCCTAGAGTGTTAGTCAGGCTTCACTCAAAGGAGTTGTGTGGCTTCATGTTGCATCCTCCCTGAATTCCAACAATATTTACTAGAGATTAAAAAAAAAAAGCATATCTAGTAGTAAAGAACCCAGAACCCCTTTTCAGATCTAAATAGCACCTATAGCAACCAGAAAGAACCCAAGTATGCGCTGAACTGCATGTCCATATTCAGTCTGCTCTCAAGTGTCTTTCTGAACACAACTGGCGCATTCCATGTAGTCATAGTGATTCTGGCTTGGCAGGGAAAGGCAGCTGAACTTGGTGCCAACTGTTTCTCTTACATTATTGCATGTGCTCTGAAGGCCTGGGAGTCTGTTTGCAGCAAACTTCAGCAGCATGGCTAGCAGCTCACCTTGGCGGAGTGATAGAGCCACGCTGAGGAGTGCTGAACATCCTTGAGTTTCCTCATCTTTCAGTCCATTGCCAGTTTTCCAAAACCCTGGCTAGAGGAGGAACCGGTTGTGCTATCAGGCGGGTGCTCCAGTTGTGACTTCACACTTTCCCTAGGCCACTTGTGTGTTTTCCTTTCATAAGCTCACTGAGGAGGTGATAACAAGCAGAGTAAGTGAAAGGAAGAAACATTGTTAAAGGTCTTTGTTACTTTTGTTTATTATGTGAAGTATCTAAACTGCAACATTTCCCTGCATATTTGAAAACTGAGTAACAGGTTTTCTGACTGACCCAAAACTAAATGCAACTTTGTGGGAGGAGCAAAGCTATCCAGCACTCCTTACTTGCATACCCGTGTCTGAGAAGGGGCTTTGTTAGCATCCCCCATAATTTTAGCAGTGTATGCCACCTGTGAGATGTGGGCTGAGTGTGCACCAAGGTGAATAACATCGCACTAATGAGAGCCTACAGTCACACAGTGAGCTTATTCCCCTAATAGGGTATCGTCCATTGAGTCGAATATGCAGTGCACTGTCAACTATAATCAAAGGTTGACAAATTTCCTTCTAACATTCATTTACTGATTTTTTTTTGAAGATGGGAACCTTAAGTATATTTAGAGTTCAAATTACATACACCACACTATGGAAAATAATGATAATAGTCATAACACAAATATTTGCACAACCGAAATGCTTCCCAGTCTAGACAATTGCTTGTTTACTTTAAGGAGTTTTCAATATAATAAAATTACTGCAAAAGAAGAAAATTTGTGCACTTTTTTTTATCAATGGTGGAATTCTCTCTGACAATAGATCTTTGTCCAAGTTTAGAATTTTCCACAAACTATAGAGTCTTAAAGTAAAAAAAAAAGTCTCTATAATAACCCAGATTATAGTCCCTTATCCCACCCAAAAATATAGTAATAATAGAAACAGAATTATTGGAACTTGTTATAGTGAAGGAAAAGCTTAGATCTGAGTTATTTTTGTATAGAAGTTTTTTGCACATGGAAGTCATGGCAGGTTAGTGTTGAATCTTAGTCTACAAAGCTTCCTTTACCTGGCCACATCCAGAATTTCTTCAAGACCTCCTTCAAATAGTTGTTGATCAAGGGCATAATGTGGTGTTCAAGGAGATATTGTCTTGTCTTCAAGAAGCTCCCATTCTGGAGGGAGAGAAATAGTGAGAACACACACACACAATGATTTCAGTGTATTGCCTGGGATGATGGAAAAATCTTCCCAGAGAAATGAATGTTGGCACCATGGCCTGAGGTCAAGCTTATAACTCTTTCCTCTGCTTACTCACAGCATTTTTCTTTACTATAACAGTTAGCTCTGAAGTCTAATTAGTGGTATATTAGGTCTGTCTTGCACTAGATTGAGAGTATTGTAGGGTCAGGGATCTTGGACATACAATAACTTCATTGAATAAGTAGACCAGGATATAGTTTTAGGTCTAGGTTCTTTAGTTGTCAAGGGAAGATTAACCATGAAAAGGGTTATTCTTTATATTTTTAAAAGTAAATGTTTTGAAAATTTGGGTATTTCATATTAAGTCAAAGTTATAATGGTTGAGGAAAGTCTGTACTAGTTCATTTATGTGGAAAGAGAGAGGGACTCTCATAATACCTGCCTCCACAAATCTGATATTTTATGTAATTTCCTTAGAATAAGGAAATTCAAGTATGCTGCAACACAACTCCATACTATGCTTTTTTTCAGAGTTAATGGGAAGACACAGTTTCACCTACAGAGTCAAGAATTATAAAGGGTTGTGTGGGGGGTTATTTGGGAGAGCATTTATAACATCAGAGCATGAAACAGTGATACTGTGGTTGTTGTAAGAAAAGGTCACTATGTCAAGAAGTTTTAAACTATAGAAATGGATTTTTATGACCCTATGATATTCAGTGCTCTTGGAAAATACTTTTGGGAGTGGAAAGAAATGATCTTTCCATTGGCATGTCCCTCTTTCAGAGCTGGCCAGGTTTCACGATCAGATGTGATCGCCCAAGTGTAGATGAGTCCTTACAGTCCTCCGTAACGTTTAGGTGAATCTTCTTCATGGGATGCTGTAAGGAAAAAAATTACAAGCCAATGAGGGCTATGACCATAGTTGTCTTATTTATTCATTTATCTCATGCAACAGAATATTGCTAACACTTGATGTTTGTTGAATTAATGTTACTTTTGTGCCACATATAAGATATTTTAATGGTTGGGGTTAAGTTGATAGAAATGTTTAAAAAATCTTAACACAGGCAGCTAGACAGTTGGCTAGATATGCAAAGTAGAACTCTTAATGCAAGAGGCAAATACTTCTTGCCACTTCATATTTTAGCTTTTAAATGGGTTTCTTCTCCAAGAAAAAAGTAGTATATTTATATTTTATCTATCTTAGTAGTGTATGAGATATTTAAATTTTGAGTTGGCCTTCATATAGCAAAAACCTAGTTTTGTACATCTTTAGCATTTATTCTTATTCTAAGCTTTGTTCTAGCAAAGTAATTTCATGTCTTTTAACACAATCTTTTAAATTTAAAACTTTTAAATTCCATGAGTGGAAAAAAAGATATATTTTTATGTATTTATATACACAAGAACTAGAGTGTCAGCCAAAGGCAGGGGGATTGGGAGACATGGAGGGAGGTGTGAGGGGATTCACCAGCGACAGAGTGGGAAGCAGAACAGGCAGATCTACTGAAATACACTGCTGAGGGGAGCAGTGGCCAAGACAGGAGACGTCTGCTGTGCCGTGTGGGTCAGCTCCCTGGCTGGATTGAACTCATGCCATAGTGGTTGGCAATAGCTTGGTAGTACAAGAATTTAACCCCTGCACTAGTGGGGAGACCTTATGAGAGGAAATATTTTAAGGATAGAATTTAAATGAATAACATTTTATTTCTTAAGACTTTCTATGATCTGTGTTATATGTTTGAAATATATTAAAAGTAGGTTGTTTTATCCTGTTTGCCATGTCTACTGCAGCCTTAAGTAGTTGACTAATAATGTTGCAATTTGCCAGAAGCTACTACCTATTAGACTGAAGGAATGGAAACATTGATTCCAGAGATCAACTTGCTAAGTACTTTGGGAACACTGGAATATTTACTAAAATTTCAGAGGAAGGGGCTACAATAATGTATATTATGCCTCCCTTGTTACCTTTTGTTTCTATGTTTGTAAATTATAATGCCTTGCAACAAAAAATACCACAATAGCAGTTTAAAATATTTTCACCGATTTTTCTTTTTTTCACGATGTATGTTTCACACACTCTATATTCCTTTTAGTTTTTGAATGACAGTGTATTTCTTAAAAGCAGTGTGATTGATGCTGTCTTCCCCCAATAGCCTTGCCCATCATCCTGTTCTCTTCTTAGCAGTATTCTACCTCTCCTACTAAAGAATCATAAAAACAAAAAAGGACTTATGAAAATTTACTGGTTATAATCATATTCATCAAGCCACTTTGAAAAGAGAACTTCAGAAAGAGCCCAGTGTCAGCTCATCCCTTATCA